CAGCTCGGTTGGATTGCAGGCCCTGCTGTGATACTCCTGTTCTCCTTCGTGGGCTACTACACCTCTCGCCTCCTCTCCGATTGTTACCGCACCGGCGACCCCAACACCGGCGAGCGTAACTCCACTTACATGGACTCTGTTCGCTCAATCCTCGGTACGGAATTCTATCACCATGTTGTTGCTTCTCATTATTTGACTCCCGCACTTTGATCAAATTTCCTATTACCATATGTCTCCAAATGTATAGCAAAATGAGTCCCGTAACTTTTAATTAGGTGATACCAGTAACTCTACATTCTTAGAATATTAACATTTTCAAGGTTTTATTCTCAGGTGGAGCAAAGGTAAAAGCATGTGGTTTTCTTCAACATATAACCCTATTCGGATACGCCATTGGCTGTAGCGTTGAAGCATCTCTCAGCATGATGTGAGTACAAATCTACTTTCCCAAACTCTTGACAAATTTATTTAGCAGATCACATTGAACTTTCAGTTCTACCGTTTCTTATATAACCTGACTGATTCAATTTTATACACGTTACCTCTTTCCAATAAAAGGGCGATAAAATACGTGGATTGCGCCAGCAAGAATAATTGGGAGTACTCAAAGTGCCAGATTTTGAGTACTCCGTACATGATCATCTTCGGCATTACAGAGGTTCTGCTGTCCCAGATTCCAGATTTTGATCAGATATGGTGGCTTTCTATTGTGGCTACTGTCATGTTCGTCACTTACTCTTTGATTGGTCTTGGCCTAGGAGTTGCCCAAGTTGCAGGTACAGGCTTCTTCTTTTCTCAAAACAGATGGCCAAGAAATTTTAAGAGATTACATTACCAATATCATAAATAAGAAGTTGTTTCCATCAACTTTTTTTCTTGATGAGCAGCTAGTGGAAGTTTCAAGGGCAGTCTTACAGTAACAAGCGGTGGAGATGCGACTGAAACCCAAAAGATATGGAGATGTTTCCAAGCTCTTGGAAATATCGCCTCAGCATACTCATTTTCTGTGATCCTTATTGAAACTCAGGTACTAAAACATGATTCCATCCGTTCAAAAACTAAGGGAAGGGTTAAGAATGGATAGAACAGAATGAAATACCTTGTTTTTTCCTTTTGTCTTTGGCAGGACACCATCGGATCCCCCCCATCAGAAGCAAAGACCATGAAGAAGGCCATTTCTCTGAGCACCGTGGTGATGACGACTATCTACATGCTAGGTGGCTGCGTGGGCTATGCTGCTTTCGGTGACGACACTCCAGAAAATCTTCTGATCGAATTTGGTTTCGACAAGCCATTATGGCTTCTTGATATTGCCAATGCTGCTAGTGTGATCCTTCTTGTTGGAGCATACCAAGTAAACAGTCAGCCGATATTCGCCTTCATCGAGAAACAGGCCAATCAGAGATGGCCTCGTAGTGAGCTCATGGCTAAAGAGATAAAGATCCCGGTACCGGGTTTGGGCCAATTCAACATAAAGCTCTTTAGACTTGTTTGGAGGACGGCTTTCGTGATCTTGACCACCGTGATATCGATGGCATTCCCGCTCGTCTTCAACGATGTCGTGGCTATCATCAGCTTGGGATTTTGGCCTCTAATGGTCTATTTTCCCGTCGAGATGTATATTAGACAGAAACAAATTCCCAAATGGAGCACCAAATGGGTATACCTGCAAATGCTGAGCATGGCCTGTCTTGTGATATCGATCATGGCAACTGCGGGTTTGATCCCAGATCTTAAGGACGACCTTAAGAAAAATAAGCCATTCGGGTTGATCTACTAAAAAAATGCATGGACCTTTGGTTGATTGGCCATTTGACAAAAAATAACATCATGGAAGTTTCTAGTTTCATTTTTTGGTATGGAATTACGAACTCTGTATGTTCTATCCATTGCTTAGGAAAACTTGCTTTTTATGCAAGTGATGATCATACATTGTCCCATTGTTGTAAGAGAAAAAAAATTCAAAAATTTTGGTTATTCAAATCGCCATATCCACGTAAATTGGGTTAGGCTCCAATCATACGATGACAGGCATGTCGGCCTTTCAAGGTTAATTTGAGTGGGAGAATTATGATATGAACAAAGAAGGTCACATATTATTATCATGTATGCATCGGTAAATAAACGAAATATCATAATTTGAAAGAGTTTGTATATTCTTTTTGGGAAGGGGAAAAAGTAAAAAGATGTATGGATAATAACGTTTAAAGAAAAAGTGAACTTACTATTAGATTGATTGGCTTGTCCCATACCTCTTCGACATCCTCGACCAACTCCCTTTTATCAAATGTTGTCCCCTGGCCTCAGTCAAACAGCTCTATCATGTATATGTTTGCCCTAAAAACCAAAATTGATTGGTACGCCACTTCATTTAACCAATCATTTAGCTTCAATTCTCTCTAGGTACTCAAAAATGCTTCATGACCTTACCAGCATTCCATTACTGATTTGTGCATGATTATGCCGCTCAGTTAAGTGTAGTGTTTCATGTAATAATTGTATCGCGTGAACAATTAGCATCTGCGTCACGTATTCCATCAAATGTTTTTATTTATTATGACTTTCGAAATGTTCCCAGTATACACTTTATCTATCGCATAATCTCAGAAACATTACATGAAGAGTAGGTATTGCCCACACTCCGTATAGGCGTGTCCAACTCACATGCACCGTTAGATCTCATGGGTCATACGATGACCCACCTCACATGTGAACTGGGTATGCACCAGGTTCAATACTTCTCTATAGTGACTTAGACCAATCGTTTATCGGAGTGTTATGGCTTAAAATCCTCAGCTAACAATGTATTGGAAAGCACACGTCAGCCATCTTTAATGTTTTTCTAGTAAAGGACCTTGCGAGATGCTTTACTTGCTATACACTCAACAGCATTACGTGATGGAAGAACAATAGACCATCGAACTAATTTCTAGTGCATGGAATCCTCTTACAGGCAGCAAACTCTCATTCGTAAATGTAGAACATATAAAGATATTGGAAACAAGTTAGACATAGTTTAGCATAAAAGATTGTTTACGTACCCGAATGCTTAAATTTCCGGGGGTATCCACCAGTGACTGATGATTCATTCCTCGCCCTAATTATGGTTTTGAAACGTGAACTTCAACTCACCATGCCGTTGCCAGCAGACCCCAAACGTCAAATTAGATAGACTAGGACTTGGGACTTGAACTTGAAAGGGCAGTCCAATGAATGCTAGCAGTTAAAAAAGGTACTTGATTTGGCGTAGGCGTTTTGTCAAACTGTTACAGGTTGACAGCCTCAACCATTCATGGACTCTCCTTCATGTGTTTGAACTTAAATCTCAATATATGGTTGCATGCATGCAAACTAACATTATAAATGATAAGTCTTTTTCCCCATCTTTAGGCTCCTTGTAAATTCTAAAGCCCAAAACATGTTTTCTGGCAATGTAAGACCAAGGGTTTTAGGCAAGTTCAGTGAGGACGCACAGTTGTAGCTCAGGCACACGAGGCCAGATTCTTACACAGGACTTAGATTCAAGAGTCAAGGAAAATGGTTGTCGGCCCACTTGCCCAACTCATTCATGGGTTGAGACTACTTATTCATTCGCTACCTTCTTTTTCCTTACATATCCAAGTTGTAAGGCGGCCCAATTCCCTAAAAAAACCCCAAACTTTAGGTTTAGTCCCAAATCTGCTTAAAACTTTTTTTTGTCTTAAAAAAAAGGGTTACTACCACGAAAAACCCTAAACTTGTACACTTGTGACACATTTACCCCAAACTATTTTTTTGACCATAAAAAACCCCAAACTGGTACACCTGTGACAATTTTACCCTGAACTATTTTTTTGACCACAAAAAACCCCAAACTGGTATACCTGTGACAATTTTACCCTGAACTTACCACAAAAAACCCCAAACTGGTACATATGTGACAATTTTACCCTGAATTAAAATTTTAATATTATTTTTTATTTTTTTCGAATTTTTATTTATTTTTTATTCTTTTCTTTTCTTTTTTTTTTTCATCTTCAAACCCTGGCCGGTCGCCGGTCCGGCGACCGGCCAGAGGTGGAAGCCGGCGAGGGCCGCCCTCACCGGCGTCGGGCGAGGGCCGTCCTCGCCGGCGTCGGGCGAGGGTGACCCTCGCCTGCGTCGGGCGAGGGCCGCCCTCGCCGGCGTCGGGCGAGGGCCGTCCTCGCCCGCCCAGGGCAAGGGCGAGGGCCGCCCTCGCTTGAGTAGGGCGAGGGTCACCCTTGCCCTGGGCGGGCGAGGTCGGCCCTCGCCCGACGCAGGTAAGGGTTGCCCTTGCCAGATCCGGCATCGGGCGAGGGTCGCCCGACGCCGGCGAGGGCAGCCCTCGCCAGATCTGGCGAGGGCAGCCCTCGCCCAATACCAGCAAGGGTCGCCTTCACCGGATCTAGCGAGGGCGGCCCTCGTCCAACGTCGGCGAGGGCGGCCCTCGCCGGTTTTCGCCTCTGGCCGGTTGTCGGACCGGCGACCGACCAGAGGTTGAAGGTTAAGGAAAAAAAAAGAAAATAAAAGAAAAGAAAAAAGAAAAAATTCAAAAAAATTCAAAAAAATAAAAAAAATAATATTAAAAATTAGTTCGGGGTAAAATTGTCATATGTGTACCAGTTTAGGGTTTTTTGTGGTATGTTTGATGTAAAATTGTCACAGGTGTACAAGTTTGGGGTTTTTTATGGTAAAAAAATATAGTTTGGGGTAAATGTGTCACAAATGTACCAGTTTAGGGTTTTTCGTGGTATTAACCCTAAAAAAAACCCTCAACTTTCATTCTAGTCCCAAATCTACCCTCGTTAACTTTCCGTCAAAAATCACCGTTAAGTCTTCTTACATGGCAATTCCATGTCAGCACAAAATCCACATCATAAGCTGACATGGAATAACTCCAGAAAACATCGACGTTTTTGCTCTGGATATTGGGGGAAAATTAGGGCTTGCTTTGCTTCGTCTTCTTCAATTTGCTTTTAAAGATCGACCAAAAGAAATTCGCACTCAAAGAGACAACACCGCTCAGTCGCTCCTGATCAGTCGCTCCCTCCATCAGGTTCGCTCTCTACGCCATGAAGCCAGAGCCAGCTAGCGTCTCCGTCGCCCTCTCCATGGGTTAGCCTCTCTTTTGTTTCGCTTGAAGGAATCGATCGCAATTCGCACTCAAAGAGACAACACCGCTCTGTCGCTCCCTCCATCAGGTTTGCTCTTTACGCCACGAAGCCAGAGCCAACTAGCTTCTCCATCCCCCTCTCCATGGGTTAGCCTCTCTATCGTTTCACTCAAGGGAATTGATCACGAACAGGAGGGATTCCTCCATAAATCGACTGAGTCGTGGACTCCAAAGCACTCGATCTCTTCCTATACAGGCTCGCGCTCGGTCACTCGGTGGAGAGAGTGGCGGAAACTGCGATCAACCCTTGTGATAACCAGGTATTTGTTCTTCCGTTTCTTTTGCTCTTTTTTTCCCCTAAATTTAACTTTTATCGTTTTTGATGAAGTATGCGTGCATTAATCTTGATGTTTTCAATTTTTGCTATCCCTGTTACATGTATGATTCTAGGTTCTTGAACATAATTCAATCGCACAAGAATGTTGGTTGATTGTTGTGGTAGTCAATTGTTCTTATGATGTGAATTGTGTTGTTTACAATTCGCTTCAATCAGTGGAATGTGTTTGACATTGAAATTGCAGGTTGATCGTCATTTTGCTAGCAAGTTTTGCTCGTAAAAAATTGGAGTATTACTAGGTTGAATCAGAAGCAATGGTGGGTTCATTCAATTGTCGACTCTTTATGTTCGAATTTTGTATCTTCAGGCTCGACAAGGATATGGACTTTTCATGCTCATTTTGTATCTTCAGGCTCGACAAGGATATGGACTTTTCATGTCTGAAACTGGGAATTCATATTTAAGGATAATATCTTTGTCTAATTTTAAATGTATATCGAAAAGAAAAGCAAGTTCATATGTAAGATTTTTTTTTTTACTGCAGATGCCTGGTAGTGATAGAGTTATTGACATCGGAGGTCCATCCTTCTCCAACGAACAAACAAGAGCAAGGAATGTTCAAGTTTCAATAAGCCAATCTTCAATTGATGTCTCGGAATCTCCATGCACTCAACAATCTGGAATCGGTGGTGGATTGTGAAATTGTGGACCAAGAAATGCTAGTGGATGTTCAGTGCCTGCTGTTAGATGAGGAGATTTTGTTGCAGACAGAAAAGTGCTAGTTTTTATGTTTTTTGTAAGTAGATATGGCTATGTACTGTCTGGTGTGAGGATATGGTAATGTAACTTTCTATATGGGATGGTTTGGTTATGTACGATGCATTGAGTTGTGCTTGTTATGTTGGCATGTCTCTCTTTTCCAGCACACAATGTGGATCGGTTTAAGTTAATCTAATGCTATTTAGCAGATTTTTGCCTTCGCCTTCTTTTGAGCTGTGCTTGCTATGGTGCTGGGATTGGTTGAAGGATCAAAGTTGGATCATTATTTGTGGTTTTAGCTGTATAAAAAGGTCTTATCAGGGAAGGTGAAGGAGATACAAAAGTCTGGTGTTATATTGTGCAATCTTGTTTGCTGAGTTGCGCGTCAGCAAATGTTTAGAGTAAACAGTTACAACAGTTTGTGCTATTTGACTTGGCTGCTCAAGTTTACAGGAGAGAAGAAATTGGTAGGACAATCAAATAATTCAGACAAATTCCACATCAACTAATTCGGTAACTTTTGTATTTCAAGATCAACAAGGATTACAACTCAATATGTCTTTCACCAACATGAGAAACAAATAAATCGAAAAGAGAATATGAGAGATCTAAAAATACAGCTACAAGATGCTCCGCATCATCTAAAACACAATTTCATTTCACTCAACCCCTACTAAAAGATGCCATGGATGTGAGAATGCTTTCTCCAAGCACCAGTGTCAATAAAGGTTTTTCAGCATCCTTCATATCACAGCTGCAGTCGGCTTTGACTCAGGCTCGGGCACCTTTGCTCCTTTTCCTTCTCTTTCAAGGCCTTCAATGTGTTCTCTGCATGTGAGACAAACAGAAACTGGAGTCACTTGAGTCCATGCTTCAATGTGTTCAGCAGCCAAGTACATATATTTTCAGTTGAATAATGGCAGCAGTAACAACAACAAACCAAGCCTTATCCCACAGACGATTTGAAAAACGACATTGTCACCTACACTTTCGATGAGAAGAAAACTAACATTTTCCATGAAGAGAACTGTTAAATGACGTTTCATTTGGTTGTTCTGAGTTTTTTTCCCTGATTCTCTTTGCTACCTGTTTAACTCGGCAAAACCAGGCTTCTTATACCATACTGCAATGGGAAGATATACACTCTTATATATCTTTTTTGCAAAAAGCACGCAAATGACACAGATTGTCGGAAGTGTTCATGGTACAAAAATGAGAAAGGAAACTGTTGCTTATAGGGCTGCATCTATACCTCATATGGTGGTTGACTCAATTTCACAGAACAACGTCAAAAAACTGTTGCTTATAGCAAATTCAATTTCACAGAACAACGTCAAAAAACTGTTGCTCATAGCGAATTAGGTTTTTTTCAAGTAAAAGGATTTCAGAATAAGGAGGAACACTTGAAATACACCAAAGAGAACCATCGGCTAATGCTCACTTGAAAATTCAGGAGCTTTTTCTTCCCATCCTTCGGTAAAACACAAAACGAAAAATGATTTCATGAGCTTCTTCACTGAATTAACACTCATCAATGAATGGTTTATAGTTTTTGACTTCAGTTATTTGGAATCATTAGACATACTCAAGGCATCACTTAAAAAATCCCACGAACTCTATCTAAGCATTCCTTGCTAACCATTATAACTTTTGCCTACAACTTTTGGTCACCATTTATCTTATCAGCACGGAATTCAATTGACCCCTCAACATCTGCTATTCCAGAATTTCACCCTCTGTTGCTCACCAGCAACCATCACTGGTCACCATAGAAACACGTGAAGCACAAAGCCATGGCGATAGTTCAACAGCGTACTCGGCAACTATGAAAGTACATCAAGAATCCTGTCTAATAATTAACAAATCGATTAATAACATGTGGGACTATATCAAAACATCTTCAGATTGAGCAATTCCAAGAATTAATTCATGACTGTATCTCACGGACATATCATCAAACAGGTTGTATACATTCGATTAAAGGAGAAACGATACATTAATGAGCTCGGATTTGATACTAATCTCTAATCCCATTCAGGACGATCGTAATCAATTAACCTAAATTGAGAAAACATCTCAGCACATACATATATGTACAATTAATTTTCGTTTGATTGACCCAGTCACATATATGCAGCATATTCAAAAAGACAATGTACAAGGAATGATTCAATTTCATGCAGGGGACTCTCGGATAAGTTCTGAGGTATAGCATACCAAATTGATCTCGTAAGTTCTGAGAAAGCATTCTCACATCAATTGCAGTTTCCGCCACCTCTCCACCGAGAGGCCAAGCTCGAGCTTGTATAGGAAGAGACCGAGCGTTTTGGAGTCCACGACTCGGTCGATTTACGGAGGAATCCCTCCTGTCCGCAATCAATTTCTTCGAGCGAAACAATAGAGAGGCTAACCCACGGAGAGGGGGATGGAGAAGCTAGCTGGCTCTGGCTTCGTGGCGTAGAGAACGAACCTGATGGAGGGAGCAACCAAGCGGTGCTGTCCCTTCGAGCGCGATTTTTTTTTTTTTGTCGATCTTTGAAAGCGAATTGAAGAAGACGAAGCAAAGGAAATCCTAATTTTCCCTCAATATTCAGAGCAAGAACGTCGACGTTTTTTGGAGTTATTCCATGTCAGCTTCTGACGTGAATTTTGTGCTGACGTGGAATTGCCAGGTAAGAAGACTTAACGGTGATTTTTGACAGAAAGGTCACGAGGGTAGATTTGGGACTAGAATGAAAGTTGAGGATTTTTTTTTAAGACAAAAAAAGGTTTTGGACAGATTTGGTACTAAACCTAAAGTTTGGGGTTTTTTAAGGAATTGGGCCGTTGTAAGGCATGGTTATCTATAAAAACTCTTTTAGACTCATGATCAGAAGGAAAAAAAAAATTTGTACCATAATAGAGAACAGGCACAGTACACTAATATAAAACTAAGCGAACCTAAAAAAGCACAAGAATGGTTGAATGAATGATTCAATTTGTATTATCAGCAAATACAGGCTTTCTGAACTACTAATGGTTTTTGTTTAAGGGCTTCAATTTTAGGAGGTGGGCTCGCGGACCGGCCACCTGTTTGGGCATATATGAGCTGTTCCAATGAGTTGTGCAGTACCTCGCCATGCCGGCCAAGCCATTACGATGCTAATCCGGAATATGGGCCCATATTCTCATATTGCTAAATGAAATTTGTTAAATTATGATAAGCATATTTGGTAATGCACGCTACATTTTTTATTGAGAAAGTTACGAGGGTAACGTTAGAAAAATCGCATTGCACAAATCAAATGACTCGGAGGATTGAATTGAAAGAGGGTCCTTGAATTTAGAAGATTTAACCATGTACAAAGTAGGAGCTCTCCCCCTTGGCGGCTCCATGGTGGACGTGTAGAGGCTAGTGGACTCCTTATTGGGTCGACCACTTGACGGCCACATGTATTATATTAATGTCGTGATTTATTCTAGTAATAAAGTAGGAACATATAGAGGCTCTAAATTAAGTATATAAGAGCACTTTAATTCTCCAATGACCTATCAATCCCCGGTCTTCGGAATCAAAGTGTCATTGGCACTTTGCGCCATGGGGCTGGCAATTTATTAGGGCCCCTCAATATGAAATGTACCTGACATTATATTGTTAATTAGGTGGCCTAAGTGTAGTCATTCTCCCCCTACTCGCTTTGCTTTACAAGGATTGAAGGACACAAAGGATTCGAAATTCCGAGGAAAGTGATGTTTTGGAACTATTGAAAACTACACATAGGGCCAAAATAATAAAACGCCACATTCTATGGAGACAGAGATGAATAGTATTTAACACGTCTTTCATGTCTAGTTTAGTCAGAAAATTATGCCAATATGATTATTTCGGATGACCATCAAGTCCGAAAGGATACAATTTTTCTTTAATGTTTTGAGGGTGTTTTGAAAACTCTCTGTATTGACATTATCGTTCCTTTTAAAACTCTTATTAGTGTGTAACGAAGTACTATAGATTTTCGAGTACACAATTCAAGATTCGCACTATTATCAAGGCCTTTTACCTTATTATGAAGTAAGTAATGCCAACTTAGGGATAAACTTGAGACATTACATTTCTTGAGGCACGGGGTTCTCGTCATCCAACTAATCATATGAGTTTCTATTAGCATCTCTACCAAATTTCGAATGGAGGATGTTGTATCGGTTTAATATTGAGTCTTAACTAATATGACAATTTCTTAAGTTCCACATTACATCTTGCTATGCTTCTCTCTCTCTCTCTCTCTCTCTCTCTCTCTCTCTCTCTCTCTCTCTCTCTCTCTCTCTCTCTCAGGCACACGACAAATGTTTGGAAGGCTGAGAAGCCCTCTTTACGCTCTTTCCACCTGCCTTCGGAGAGGGGACCAAAGTGCTCCGCGAAAGGATTGGTCAAAATTTAAAAAATAAACAACCAAGGGCATAAACAATAATAAAAAGGAAAGAGAAAACAAAGCTAAGGTCGGCAAGTCTATCATAGTCTGCAATTGCTTTAAACATCCAATCAAAAGCAATAAGAAACACTAGCCAAAGGTACGGACCAGAGGCGAGCATCGATTCCTTTCAACAACAATGGAGGAGATTCTTACACGCGGGAGTGCAATACGAAAGTGAGCTTTATCACTAATTAAACTATGATTTTAGCCACCCTAGTTGCTGACTCTCTTCTCCTATATATAAGCTCGAAGTTCCTGCCATGGAGAGTGCAGCGATTGGTTTTCTCGACCCATCTTTGGTTTTTCTTCCGTTTGTAATAAATCCCTCTTTGTATATAATTTCCTTTTCTTCCTCTTTGATTGCCTTTGATTGAGGGAAAGGTTGCAAAATAATTAAGGTAAGTGGCACATATGATAAGTGCTAACTCTTGCTGATTTGTTCTTATTGCATGATAGTGATGATCATGTTCCTTTTTGTCCTTGATTGCATTGAGCATATATTATGTTGAGCAATGGAAAGAACTCTTTTGTTGTGTTTTTGCTTTCTTTCACTTTCTTTCACTTTCTTTCATTCCTCCACTGGAGATTTGGGAAGTGTGCTTTGTCTTCTAATAGATTAAATGCTGCTTTACATGCATCACTGTCACTACAACTACAAAGCATGTGCGCATTTGATATCCATTCTAATGTGTTCTATTTTAAGATTTTATTTACTGTATATCAATTGGTTTGGCTTGGTCTATTTTTATTTTTCTTTTGTAAGTGAT